AATGAAATTTTGCACAGAACCTTGTACCATAGTATCGACAAGAATTCCGACCCGGCCCGACGAATCCGACAAACTTTTTTTTTTGCCATGAAATGTGGACCACCCTAGTTTCCGTGGATGGAATTTGTTGGATTTCTTCATGTTTTTGCGGTCCTCCGGCCCACTTTATACCTGTGGACGAGGAATTAGGGGCTCTAATCCCACGTTGTGTCAGAGGACCGGCAACCCGGGGCGTCCAACCCGAGGCCAGGGCCCAAGGACCGACCTTTGGTCCTCGAGCTGGTCCTCGAGGCCAAGGACCGGCTCGAGGACCACAATACTGGTGTGCCCTGCGATTGGCTGGCAACGGGTTCAGGGTTTCCCTCACCGACTGCCCGAAGACACCTGGGATAGGCTCCAGCACGCCCCGCGACCCTTGTGAGGACAAACAAATCAGAACATGAATGAATGTATTTTACTGTGAACATAAATTTTAAGTACAGAACCATACGCACTGCCAATGTGAAGCCAATCACAGGATCACTTTAAGATTCTCACAGTTGATGGGTAAAACCTTTCGTAGAACTTGACGTAAGCATGATATCATTTTCTTGGCTCTTGGATGAAAACATGCAAAGAGCAATGCTGTCATGTTGTCATTTAAAACATTTGCACACACTGCAGATAGCTTTTAAAGAGGCATATGTAACTATTAAACAATACTATAGTTTGCCATTTAAAACTCTGTATATTTTTCTTTTATTTGTGTATTTGCCTTTGCAATATTTTTATTGTGGTTTTCTGTGAAGAACACAAAAAAGAACAGCAAATACTGCATGAAATAACAATAAGAGAAGTACTTCTGTGTTTGTGTATGTTGCAAATTCACAGGAAGTTTGTCTGTCAATTACTGCACAACTATACTTCGGTAGATAATGTTCATCATGTTATGTAATTTGCATTATGTTACAGTATTTCCTTGTCTCGTATGCAAAATAAATAAAACGTGTTACAGCTAAAAACACGTGTTTGTGGTCTTACTGGATTCACACCCATTCGTGACAGTAGGATGATGATGGGAAAATTTGCAGTCATGTTTGCAGTCGAACTGCGTGACTTTTCCATTCTGGTATAAAGCCACAACAATTACTTTGTAATGAATACATTCAATGTACTTGTTGGAACCAGGTTTACCTGTCGCACCAGGGCCTCGTTTTATGGATGTACAGTAAAAGCGCTGTATTTGTTTCACAAAGGGTGTGGCTAACATTTGAGACAATATGTAATTATCACTGTCATTCAATTTTTTTCTATAGGGGGAAGTATTTGCAAGTCATTTTTCCTCGAAGGCTATTGTTTTAATATTCTTACAGTACATAGCGCAAAGGGTAAATTTTTTTTAGCAAATGTACGCACAGTAAAAAACATTGCCATCACATTTGACAAAAGAACACAGCTGAAGTACAACGAGGAAGTCTTGTAAAACCAAGTCAAAGAAAAAGAAAACACATACATGCCGAGAGTTGGTAATTAAATGTTTGCTAAGCTAAGGTCTTGCAAGATTTGCTGACATCTTGCACAATAAACTAAAGCATAACTCCTATTTTGCTTGAAAGTTTTCCTTTGATTTAAAATCTTTAAAAAAAAAAACTTGCTTGAAGTTGCCTGTTTTGCCTCCATTGTATTTAAAACCGAAACAACATTAAACATTTCCAAATTTCACCAAGAGTTATTCATTCCACATCACCTCATTATTCATCAGCAATGCTGGAAGTGGTATATACAGTTGTGTCCAAAATAATGGCAGTGAGTTGCAAATGTGAGTTCTCCAAAAATTATTTTCAGGCCTTGGGAACACTGCATGGTAATGTCAATCAAAACATGTAGATAAATGTATCAATATTTTAATTAATGAATCAATATTGGGCTGTTCAAAATAATTTTATATATAAAGTACAGTCTCAAATATTTACTCAAAAAAACGGTTTAATTAATTAATTAATTAATTCGGCCAGAATGGTGTCGTGGTTAGTACTCTCCATTGTAGACGCAGCAATCATGGTTCAAATACTGTTCACGGTATGTGCAAAGAGCATACTTAACTTCTGGCGGCCCAGTGGGTGACTGGTTAGCATGTCAACCTCACAGTGCAGAGCTACCGGGTTCAATTCCAGCTCCGGCCTCCCTGTGTGAAATTGGCATGTTCTCCCTGGGCCTGCATGGGTTTTCTCCGGGTACTCCGGTTTCCTCCCACATTCCAAAAACATGCATGGCAGGCTGATTGGACACTCCACTCTAAATTGTTCCGAGGTGTGAGTGTGAGTGTGGATGGTTGTTCGTCTCTGTGTGCCCTGCGATTGGCGTGTCCCCCGCCGACTGCCCGAAGACAGCTGGGATAAGCTCCAGCACCCCCCGCGACCCTTGTGAGGATAAGCGAATCTGAAAATGGCTGTATATATATTTTTCAGATTTAGAATTCCTGTGAATCATTTAAATAATGCTGAGTTGTAAAACCACTCTGTCTTGCATGGAGTCAACTACTTTTGTGCACCAATGAACAGTTAGCGCGAAATGATTTGACAGTTTGTGACTGACTGGGCCCTATTTACATGCCCAGCGCAAGTCTAGCGCAAAGCGCGGTCTAAGTATACACATGGGTGGAGTTTTCTTTCCTTTGGGATTTTCATAGATGCGGGGGTTCCCGACGTTGTGAGTGTGAACGCACGTCTCCTCTCATTCCCTTCAGAATCAGCAAACCAGAAGTGCACACTCTTTGACACTGTGAAAGCAGAAATAATCGAAGTGGGCATTATAGTTCATTATTAGGAAACTGTAAGGAGACTTGCTTTTATTTTTGCTTTGTTTTACTCTGTCTGCAGCTCGGTCGACATTGCAAATGGAAATCTGTTTGCAATTGCCTTATATGTGTATGTATAATCCATCGATCCATCAATTTTCTGATCCGCTTATCCTCTCAAGTGTCGCAGGGTGTGCTGGAGCCTATCTCAGCTGTCTGGGCAGTTGGCGGGGTACACACCGAAGCTGGTTGCCAGCCAATCGCAGGGCACATATAGACAAACAACCATTCACGTTCACACTCACACCTAGGGACAATTTAGAGTGTTTCATGAACCTGTCACGCATGTTCTTGGAATGTGGGAGGAAAGTGGACGACCCGAAGAAAATCCATGCAGGCAGAACATTCAAACTCCACACAGAAAGGCCGGAGCCGAAATTGAACCCTGCACTTCTTCGCTGTGAGGCCGACGCGCTAACCAGTCAACCACTGGGCCACCACACTTGGATAAGTAAAGGTTAAATAAAATAAAAACTTAAACTTCAATCCATCCATACATACATTTTCTACCACTTATCCGGGGTCAAGTCGCGGGAAACAGCTTTAGCAGGGAAGCACACACTTCCCTCTCCCCAGCGACTTGTTCCGGCTCTTCCCGGGGGATCTCGAGGTGTTCCCAGGTCAGTTGGTAGACATACAGTAGTCCCTCAACTGGTTTCCTGGGTCATCCACGGGGCGTCTTGCTGGTGGGACACACCCAGAACAACTCACCAGGGAGGTGTCCAGGAAGTATCATAATCAGATGCACTGTTTACTCTGAATCCACCTCAGAGTCCTCAGACTCTGCTTCCTCAAAGGAAGGGGTGTGGGTGGAGTTGAGGAGGTCTACGAAGTATTCTGCCTACTGACTCACGTCCTAAATCGAGGTCAGCAGCGCCCCATCCCCACTGTACACACTGTTAAAGGTGCTCTGCTTCCCCCTTCTGAGACGTCAGATAGTGGACCAGAATTTCCTCAAAAGCCATCAAGAAGTTGGCTCACCATGGCCTCACCAAACTTTACCCATGCCCGAGTTTTTGCCTCGGCAACCACTAAAGCTGCGTTCCGCTTAGCCAGCAGAGATGCCTCTGGAATCCCACAGACCATAAAGGCCTGATAGGATTCTTTCTTCTCCTTGACGGCATTTCTTACTGCCGATATCCACCAGCAAGTTCGGGGGTTGCCGCTGCAACAGGCAGTCAATCATCGAACTGCGGCCAAGGGTGTCCTGGTGCCAAGTCCGCATACAGAAACTCTTATGTTTGAAAATGGTGTTCGTTATTGACAATCCGTGATGAGCACACAAGTCCAATCACAAAACACCACTCGAGTTGTGATTGGGGTGTAGTTCTTCCCAATCACACCATTCCAGGTCTCAATGTCATCGCCCACGTGAGCATTGAAGTCCCCAGCAGAATGAGGGAGTCCCCAGTGGGAGCGCTCCCTCGCACACCCTCGAAGGACTCCAATAAAGGTGGGTACGCTGAGCTGTTGTTTTGTATATCGGCAGAAACAACAGTCAGGAAAGGTGGAGGAGGAAACCTTCTCGTCCACCGTGTGAACCCGAGAATTATACCCCATCTATGCAAATGAGCCTCGTTGACAAACAATGTCGAATTCACTAACACGAGCGCAAAGGAAATACCCACTATTAATACAAATACACAACGTGTCTGATCAGATTTATTTATTGATTCGCAATTATCTCCATTGACCATGTACTTACTGAACATCACTAAAAAGTAATGATGTTGGAGACATACACCTCAGAAAAGAAAAACATTTCAAATGAAAAGCCCACTTGCCAGTCAAGAGAAGAGATGACATTTTAAGTTGCTTTGGCGAGCTGCCACTGTTTCATTTCAATTCATTAATTTTATTTTACTTGAAGCTCTCTGGTTGATTCGTTCCACTTTGAAGTGATATCTGCCAGACATTTCAGAGCTTTTTAATATTTTCAAGACCCATAGGATATCCTGGTCGATTATTGGTTATACACCAAACTAATCAATAAAAGAATAGACTTTTCTCAATTGGTAAAAAAAAAAAAAAAGTCGTTTCTACCTTTTTCCATTCTTTTGGAATCAGCAGTAGAAGAAAGGGTAGGTTGCACAAAATGCAGCATTTTCTTCCAGTGGACTCACAAACTGTGCTGATGTCATGCTGTATCAAAAATGTCATCTATTGGTGGTTATGTGTGAGTAAAATTGTGTATATGTCCAAAATTTACAGTGGAGTAGCATCAGACACATCTCCACCCATCCCTGCGGTAAAGTACACTTGTCAAAGGCAGTTGTTACGTACAACACTGGTTACAGATACACATTTTTAGACTTTATTGTTGTTTTGGTTTTTTTTTTAGTTTCTGAGTCAATACATGTATCATTTTTCTGGCACATCAGTTCTTAACCTGACAAATACAGCAATAAGCCACTGTTCAAAAAGGAAAAGAGCGAAAAGCAAAGCAAAGGTAATCAGAAAGTGTAGATGCCAGCGAACACAGGCGTGTATTTCTCTGTCTTCATTTTGTTCACACAACAGATGTTGTCATCTTAAGAGTTGGGCAAATATGACAGCCAAACCGTTGCTCTCTATTCTTTATTAATCTGGAAAAAAAAAAAAACATTTGAAGATTATAAATAGATTAAATGACCAAATAATTTTATCCTTGTGAAGATAAAATACTATATCACATTTTAAATATGCACATATTTTTTTTATCGGGCAGATTAGAACACATCTCAGTTTGATTACTTTTAGGTTTCATCACAAGGCAAAATAAATTAGATGAGAAGTTACGTTAACTGCAAGATCAGTGTGTTGTCACATATGGACACACCTGTGGTTTTAAACTTACCACATCCATATAGCGCATTGGTACGTGCAATGTCATTGCTGCTCATCTCTCTTGCAAGACCAAACACAAGGTTAGGGTTTGGCAACAATTGTTGGTCGTTGATTTTTGGACCCACGACCTAGGCATTGTCACGGGTCTACGCGCTAACCACTGAACCACCAGGCCACCCACTTGTGCTGTTTCTATGTTTTATTCTTTGTCATGATGCATGACGAGAGAGCAACATAAACCACAGTAGATAAACACTCACTTGTTGTAGTGCATGATGGAGTTTAAGTCATAGGGAGAACCCAAGTTATTCGTCTCCTCCTTGTCAAAGTTGTGTTCCATGCCTGCACACAGAAGGAGACAAGAATACAATCGTTAAATGATGATGCTATCTGGCATGAAATCGAAGATATGCCATCTTGCTTGCGTTTCCGGAACACTGCGTCGTTAAAGTTGATATTATACCGTGTAATGCTATCATACCCTGTGCCTCGGCAATAACATAATCATTTTGAATTGATTATTTCATTCGTTAAAAAAACAACAAGTTTGTCACCTTTCTTTGATGAGAATGTTTCGAACACTGGCAGCCATGCCCATTCCAGTTTGTGATGGGCCATACAACTTAACAAAAGCTCATGACTGCGGCTACGTCATCCTCAACTCGATTACAAAGTGAAACAATTAGATGCAATTCAGAAAATCAGTCAGCTGACTCGACTAGACCTTTCAAGCATTATGGCTTTCCAGTTTCAACAAAACAGGCCTGCTGAAACGTATCCAATCTGATGTTAACTCGTTTTTGTCCAAACAACATAATCTTGAGGCAACATAATACAACGTGAGTGAGGAAGAGGTCAAGTTGTACAACTGAGTTCTCGGCCAGTTGATGTGTCGGAGGGAGATACTTGGCCTGTACCAGTTTTCATTACTTCAGATTAGTTAATTACAGTGTTTCTTATCAATTAAGGGACTCTGTATTTAAGGACCCATCTCCAGTCTGCTGGTTGTCAGGGTATTGTTTATGCCTTGCTGCTTCCTTGCTCACAGACCGTTTGCTATAGACCTCGTTGTTTTCGCTTTTGTACTCTCGGTACCATTTGTTGTTTTAGTATGGCTTTTGTTTTGTGATTTGGGTTTTGCGTTGACGCATCGGTGTTGCTGGACCCATCACTAGTTCTTATTTTCCTTCCTTGCCTTTTGTGCAAGCGCTTTTTGTTATTCGTTTTCGTGCTCCCTGGTCCTTGTTTTGACCAGCGCTTTATGTTACTACTTTGTCGGTGCGATTTTTTTTCATTAAACATTTTTGCTACGGAGATCTTGTCTGGAGTCTACACTTTTTGGATCCAAAATTTGATTCGGTTCGTCCGAATCGTGACAGTTGGAGGTTACTACATCGAAGTTGTGCACCGTTTGGGGAGTTGTCCTCCAATCGTTCAATCTGATCTTATGACTGAAAATGGTCATGTTCACGGCTTCCAGCGTTTCCTGGTGCCCACACCGCCAGGCAGCACCCTTGACAGTTACTTGCATGGAGCCAGCACCACCAATCAAACAATTGAATATTGGTGGGGGTTTCTTCGCAGCAAGTGCATGGAGTTCTGGTTTTCCCTCTTCACAGACCTCAGAGATTTCTGGACAAAAGCATCCAACAAATTTGTTGCATGGGACTTATTCAGGTGAGTTAATACATTCTGACAGCCTCATTTATTAAATGTGTATTTTTATATGTGAGTGCGTTGATGAGAAAGTGGACTGGGACACGAAAGAAGGAAAAAATCGGATAGTGGAAAGAAGACAGTGGCGCATGTGTGTGTGTGTGTGTGTGTGTGTGTGTGTGTGTGTGTGTTTGGGGGGCGGGGGTCACAGGGTGAAGACAAAATGACCAAGACAAATAAAGATGAAGGAAAAGTGGGGAGTGGTGAGATGCGGTACACATGAGAGGGGAGGAGTGAGACAAATAAGACAGAAAGGAGGGAGTAGGGAGAGAAAAGCAGCTTCATGCTCTAATTTCTTGCTCATAAAAGCTGATATGACTGTGCAGCTCTTCCTAAATCTGTCTGTATATTATTTTCAAAAGGATGAGTTGGATGACACGGCCAAGTTTGGAACAGCCATCTCATCAGGCCCTCAAAGAACATGAATGTCCCCAGTGGTCGGCCCAACGTGGTGAATACTTTCCCTAAACTTTACGGTACAAGGGACTTCCTCTCCCCAGTTGACAATGAACAAGTTCAACTGTGTAAAAGCCAGTGTGTCTTTCGTTTGACCATGCCTTGTGATCCGGATGTATTTGCATTGTGTGCTTTCTTAATGGCCCAGTCCGATCTGATGCCACCAAAAGATCCTTCTCAGGCTGCAAACTTGTATTTGCACCTCAGAGAGGCCCTCAGCGCAACTCTTTAAGTTCGAAGCATTATGTTTTCAGGGGTCAGAGACATTAACTGTTGGTGAAAGTATTTTTCCTTCCGAACACCAAACATATTAGAATGATATTTATTTTCTATTATTTTATATTCACATGTAAACATAAATTACACAAAGCAAGAGCCATCTTTGTTTTGCTTGGTGTTTGGGTCAAACTATATTATGGCTCCTCAACTGGTGTTAGAAGTCACATTTATTGATGGCTGAATCCGACCATTGCCATTTCTTCAACCCCTTATTTGTCAGTTCTTTTATCACTTCGCTTTCAATTGATAATTGTAACACTTTTGAGGACGAATAATATCTAGCAATCATAATTCAAAAAATTCAATTCAAAACGTTATTGGTGTAAATAAACGTTCTTTCTTGGTTGCTGACTTTATCCACAAATACTTAACCAATGTGGATGTTGAATAGTATTCATGTAAACCTGTACATCATCCCAATTGAATTTTCACCTGCCTGTAAATGATGACGACGTAATTGTCACTCCTCACTTCCGTCAGCAGGTGGTGTCTTGTGTTTAAAAAAAAAAACAAAAAACAAAAAAAGAACTGTAAGAATGATTTGGAACTAATTTTATTAACATTCACAAATTCTAACAAACATCAATCACAAACATGTACATGGAATATAATATATAATATCTAATGGCGCAACAAATTTTAACAATTTATGATTTATGAACTTCAAACCTTTGGGTCAAACTGAAAGAAATTATTTAATAAAATGTATTTACTTACTTTCTCAAATCAAAAAGTGATTGTTGGAATAAATGTAATTCTGTTATCCCATATTTACCCTCTGTGTAACTTTAAAACCTGTTTCAGAGTGATACCTCGCAAATACCTCATATACAATGGGGTAGGTTGATAATGGTAGACTTGTCGGACCGGGAGAGCTCAGGCTGCTCCTGTTCTCGCTTTTAAGAGAATATCTTGTTGTTAAGTGAACGGCTTCTGGTCAAATTAACTGTTGCTTGTGAGGAGATAACATCAACCCCAGGACACTGTGTGAGGGACATCCCAAGCTGTGTACGTGGACCATCGACATCCAGCAGGAGCCGTTTGACGACATCTCAGGAATGAACTGTGTTCTCATTGAAACTCTCCTTTACTGAAACTGTTGTGGAATGTGAAAATACTCCCCACTCCCGTTAGAAGATTGTGTATCAGGGACATCCTTCCAATAAATGCAAGGAGACAAACGCGCACTCTTCAGAGTTGCCCCGGAACCTGTAATGGTTTACATTGCAGAGCCAGCTGGAGAGCTGCTTTGAGATTGTGAACCGAGACATGTTTTAGCGCGCTCTCTCTTGCAAGAAAGACAACTATGCCTGCCTCCTGAGTCTTCCTGTTCCTGATCTGTTCTTAGCATCTGATTACCAGCATTAACCTAACAGTGATGCAGTACAGGCAACAGAAAAGTTTTTGGCGGATGTAGCGCCTTACGGCACTGTAAAATGTATTCCGTCCGACAACGGAACTGAATTCACAAACAGAGAGTTTTAGACACTATTGAGAAAGAATAAAATCAAGCATGAAATGTCCTGTCCATATTCCCCAAACCAGAATGGGATTTCAGAGAGGGAGGGCCGCACTCTTTTTGAGATGGCAAGATGCAAGCTCATTGATAGCAGTTTACCCAAAACCCTTTGGCACTATGCTATCCAGGAAGCTGCCTACACGAGAAACAGATGCTTTAATAAGCACACAGGTACTACCCCCTACACAGCACTAACCGGCAAGAAATGTGATTTATCAAAAATGCACACATTCTGGTCAGAGTGCTATGCCTATCAACAAGAAAAGAGTAAATTAGATTCAAGATGTGAAAAAGGGTTCTTTGTAGGAAACGACAAGGGAAGCCCTGCTTTTCTAATTTACTACCCTGGTAAAGGAAAAGTACAAAAGCACAGATTAGTGAAATTTATCACAAAGACGACTTGTCAGAGTGAAACCCAGACGCAGGAGGTTGGCCTAAACTCCATTGCAGGTGTTGAGATGAGTGAAACACCGCACTTAGGTACCCTGAACAGAGACATAGAAACAGAAGCGTCACAGTCACCAGAGGATGTTGGTGAGAAGCACCCTCGAGTGACGCCACAAGCCTCAAAGTATCCCAATAGAGAGCGTAAACCCCCGAGTTACCTCTCTGATTATACTCAAGATGGTAGTGGTGACGAAGACAGCGCGCTCACTCGCGTAGATTACTGCTACAGAGTAGTTTGTGGTATACCATTGACCTTCAAGGAGGCCATGGCATCCACTGAGTCAAGGAAATGGAAACAGGCAATGGATGAAGAGATGAAGTCCTTAGAAGAAAACCAGACATTTACCCTGACTAGCCTACCAGAAGGCAGGAAAACAGTGGGAGGTCGATGGGTTTATTCAATCCAGGAGAACGGCGAAGGACATGACCAATATAAAGCAAAGTTTGTCGCTAAAGGCTATAGTCAGAGGGCAGGTGTAGATTATGGTGAGACCTTCTTACCCACAGCAAATTTGACTAGTGTGAGAGTGGTCAGGCAGAAGGCAGCCGAAGAAAATTTGATAGTACATCAAATGGACGTAAAATTGGCCGACCTGCATGCACCCATTGACCGAGACATTTACATGGAACAGCCTGATGGTTATGAAAAAGTGGGAGCAAAGTTGGTTTGTAAACGACG